ACCCGGGTATGTGCACTTGACCAAAATCGAACCTGCGACCCTTCAGTCCGCAGGCCGACGTTCTATCTACTGAGCCAAACCAGCCAGGGCCCGAGGATATTTTTCCATTCATTATATTTAGAAAGAGTGGAAGGGAAGGGGGGAGATAGAGAAACATCGATGTTACAGAGACATCGATTGGTTGCCTCCTGCACAGGTCCCGACCAGGCCCAGGGATGGAGCCTGCAACGGAGGTATGTGCCCTTGACTGAAATCAAACTCAGTCCGCAGGCGGATGCTCTATCCACTGAACCAAACGAGCTAGGGCTGGTTTTCTTTTGTTATCTGAGTGACTCCTAGTACAATCTGTGAACTGGAGACCTCGGGAATTCTAGTGGGTGGTTTTCAGTTGGTGTCTGTGTTTTTGAACTATTCTGCCTTTTAACTGCAGACAAACTGGATTCCCCTCCTCCCACGTCAGTGAACACTGAAACAAGAAGCTGATGTGCTGGTGATGCTGATTTTTGCTCACAGTCACGAGACTGATATGATAGTTTCACTGATGTTTCATGTTCACTCATTCAGCAAGCATTATCTGAATGCCTGTCCATGCCTGGTACATTCTGGGCACTAAAAGGCACACTTCAATTTCCACCTGTATTCCCTTCATATAGAAAATTATCCCATATGCCTTCTCAGTTCAAGAGTAGACTATTGTTTAAAAAGAAGCTATTCTTGCCCTGACTGGTTTGGCTCAGTGGATAGAGCGTCAGCCTGCGGACTGAAGGGTCCCAGGTTTGATTCTGGTCAAGGGCATGTGCCTTGGTTGCGGGCATATCCCCAGTGGGGGGTGTGCAGGAGGCAGCTGATCAATGTTTCTCTCTCATCGATGTTTCTAACTCTCTATCCCGCTCTCTTCCTCTCTGTAAAAAATAAATATAATATATATTTTTTAAAAAAGAAGCTATTCTTGAACCAAAAAGGCATATGGAATAATTTTCTGGAGGCTGTTGGGATGACTCAGTGGAACTTCCTTCCCACTGCAAGGCTCTCTACAGCCTTTCTCAATGGTCACCTCCCAGCCTTTAGTCATTCTCCCTCTGGTCATGGGGCTCACTCCTCCACAGGACAGGCCGGCCACTGCTTAGTGGCTCAGCATCAGGAAAGCCAGTCTTGTATTATTTATTCTGTGCTCTGCAGCTAGTATCAAAGGAGTTTAGAAATAATTACCCTTTTGATTATATTTATCCTAGTGCTAGCCACATTAATACAATAATAATATTATCCAGTATGCATCAGTAGCAAGTGAGAGAAGAAATGCCAGAAATAGCTCTTCTAGCTTTTGCTCTGAACCAAAACCATTACAGACTTTCATTCAAAGCTATGGGTTTGGCACAGCTATGACATGTTTTCTCAAGCCCTTGGTGGCAGTTGCTGATTCTGCTAGAGGCAGTGCCCCTTTAGATCTAAAACATAACTGTTCTGTTGATCACAGAGTTTACAATGCGGCAGGCCAGTAAGCCAGGACAAGTGGAACAGGGAAACTGAGACGGATAACTGAACAAACTGGCAGAGCAATTTTCAGCAGACACAGGTCACCTGCCTAGAAAGAGGAGGCCTCAGTAGTACCTCACGTCCAGATCCAGAAAAGCAGCAAACCAAGTGGGCGACACCAGTACCAGCAGCAATGACTAATGACCCCCTGTCCTGACACTGACCAATCAGTGAAGACCACAACCCCGAAGGAGCACACCTAGAAAACTGATAAATATTCTGTTGAAACCCTCCCCTGAGGACTCCCCTAAGATTCCTGCCTGCAAGAGAGAGATAAAAGCCTCCAGACAAAAGACTCAGCGAGCCTTTTCCTTCCCAGGAGCACGCCTGCCCATACCTCCCCTGCCTTCTTCCCCCACAGACTTGCATCTCCTAAACTCTGAGACTTGCAGCCAGGTCGGCAATGGGCAGCAGCAGTTTGTCCCAGACAAACCCTGAACCTGTCCCCAAGCCCCCCTTTTCTCTGACTTCCTAGTGAGCCAAAGTAGACCAGCCTGGGCTCATTTCCCTAGTCCTTTCTTGTTTCACTGTCCCCAGCTTTAATAAACATCCTCTAAAATTCACCTGGCCTCGCCCTAGCTGGTTTGGCTCAGGGGAGAGTGTTGGCCTGTGGACTGAAGGGTCCCAGGTTCGATTTCGGTGAAGGGCACATGCTCAAATTGCGGGCTTGATCCCCAGTAGGGGTTGTGCAGGAGGCAGTCGATCAATGAATCTCTCTCATCATTGATGTTTCTCTCTCTCCCTCTCCCTTCCTCTCTGAAGTCAATAAAAATATATTTTTAAAAAAATAAAATAAAATTCACCTGGACTCACATTGTGAAATTTGTCCTGTACAACACTACCGGCTGGCCCTAGGCAGGCCTGTTGAGGGCCAGGTCCCCTTTCCAATAACAATGAGGCTGAGATGTAAGTACACAAAGAAAGCTGGAGTAGAAATTGGGACGAGGGGGGGCGGGAGGGGAAGGAATGCTTGCCCCCTTAAAGAGATCATTTCTGCCGGTGCTGGATTATCAGGTAGGGAAGACTCGAGAGAGTGTCTAGTCCACCCCTTTCTTTTTTGTAGACAGAAAACAGACCCAAGACCACTTTCTGTGTAATGTGCATGGTAACAACGTGTCAGGTTCACTCACTGGACCCGAGGTCTGGCAGGTGCTGGCATCGTGAACAGCACAAGTGCCCACTAAGATGGGAGCATCGCCAGAACCGGTTTGGCTCAGTGGATAGAGCGTCGGCCTGCGGACTAAAAGGTCCCAGGTTCGATTCCAGTCAAGGGCATGTACCTGGGTTGTGGGCACATCCCCAGTAGGAGATGTGCAAGAGGCAGCTGATCGATGTTTCTCTCTCATCAATGTTTCTAACTCTCTATCTCTCTCCCTTCCTCTCTGTGAAAAATCAATAAAATATATTTAAAAAAAAAAAAAAAAAAAAGATGGGAGCATCCATGCCATCCTCTGGATGAGAAACAGCTATGGGAAGGTCCTGATCTGAGTGGGGGGAGCCAACTTCACAGCCTAGTTGCTAATTTCCCATGATGGCCATTCAGGCAGGAGCTCCTCCTTCAAAGACCACACCATCCTAACAGAGTGGCTGGCGTCCAGAGCCCAATCACTTGGGTCTGTAAACCTCCATACCCACTTCCTAGCTATATGATTTGGGGCAAGTTATTTCTCTGTACTTCAATTTCCTCATTGGTCACACGGAATTAATAGCAATATTTTATAGGGTTGTTGCAAAGGTTAATCAAATTATTATATCAGAAAGGTGCACACATTATGTACTCAACAAACGTTAGCTATTCTTTTTATTACTCTGCTCTCCAGGTATCTCCCATTATCTTTATATTCTAGTGAGCTGTTCAGTGAGCTAAGGTCGTGGTTATCAACTCAACCCATATTAAAAACATCTGTGGTGTACAGAGTTCAGGCTTTCACATCTACCAGCAAGTCAAACCAGACTTCCCTTTTGGCCACCAAATCAATGAGGTACTCTGTGTGAGTATGTGTGTGCCCTCTGATAAAATCATTGCCCTCACAGTTGTCTGAATTCTAAGACAGCACTTCCCTGGACTCTGCTTACCAGATGCCCATCCTGGGCCCCCAACTTTCCTGCTTCTAATTCTTTTGTTTGTTTGTTAATCCTCACCCAAGGACATTTTTCCCCCATTAATTCCCAGAGAGAGTAGAAGGGAGGGGGAGAGACAGAGAAACATTGATGTGAAACAAACACACCGATTGGCTGCCTCCCACACATGCCCCAACCAGGGCTGGGGACACAGCCTGCAACTGAAGTATGCACTGTTGATCGGAACTGAGCCCAAACCTGTGACCCTATAGCCCAGGGGTGGGCAAACTTTTTGACTCCAGGGCCACAATGGGTTCTTAAACTGGACCGGAGGGCTGGAACAAAAGCATGGATGGATTGTTTGTGTGAACTAATATAAATTCAAAGTAAACATCATTACATAAAAGGGTACGGTCTTTTTTTTCAATAGTTTTATTCATTTCAAACGGGCCGGATCTGGCCCGAGGGCTGTAGTTTGCCCACAGCTGCTATAGCCCAAGGGCCGATGTACTAACCAATGAGCCAAACCAGCAAGGGCCCCGCTTCGAATTCTTAACAGAGCCTTACGCACAGCGCACCTGCAAGAAATGCTTGCTGACTAACTGAACTAGCTGCTCCGGCGGCTGCAGGACCAGCTCTAATCACCTTGGCTGTTTGGGCTTCCTGAAGGTCTGGTCTCAGGAAGGTTCCCCACAGCCTTTTCAGCTATATCCACAGTCTCCTCCTCTCACCTTGTTTCTGAGCCCCAGGGTGTTCACTAAAGAAGCATTAGCATAGTTTCGATTATGCCAGTCACACTTGGGTTTATTGTATTCTCTACCTTGGGGTAGGCAAGGATTTCTGAAGACACAAAAAAGTACTAGCCATAAAAGACAATATTGATAAATAAACATTATTCTGAATAAATGAAGCCAAACAAAGTTTTATATGAAATTCTAGAACAAGCAAAGCTTATATATACTGCCCGGCTGGCATGGTTCAGTGGTTGAACATCGACCTATGAACAAGGAGATCGAGGTTTGATTCTCAGTCAGGGGCACATGCCTGGGTTGTGGGCTCAATCCCCAGTGTGGGGCATGCAGGAGGTAGCCGATCAATGGTTCTCTCTCATCATTGATGTTTCTCTCTCTCTCTCTCTCTCTCTCTCTCTCTCTCTCTCTCTCTCCCTCTCCCTCTCTCTCTGAAATCAATAAAAAATGTATTTTTAAAAAAGTTTATCTATGCTGCTAAAAAGCACAAAAATGGTTGCCTGGGGCCAGGGATTGGGGGTGGTGGTGAGGCAGAGGGGGTACTAACTACAGAGGAGCGTAAGAGAAGGAACTATAAGGAGTAATAGAAACGTTCTTTATCTTGATTGGGGTAGTAGTATTCAGATGTATACATTTGTCAAAACTCACTGAACTCACCTCACACCTATTGGGATGGCCTCTATAAAACAAAACAAAACAGAAATAAGTGTTAGTAAAGATGTGGAGAAACTGGAACCCATGTATAAAATGGTACAGCCACTGTGGAAAACAGCATGGTGGCTCCCCAAAAAGTTAAAAATAGGCCTGGCCAATGCGGCTCAGTTGGTTGGGCATCGTCCCATGCACTGAAAGGTTGCCAGTTCTTTTCCAAGTCAGGGCACATGCTTGGTTTCGGCTTGATCCCTGGTAGAGGGCATGCAGGAGGCAGCCGATCAATATTTCACTTTCATATTGATGTTTCTCTCTCTCTCTCTCTCTCTCTCTCTCTCTCTCTCTCAAAGTCAATAAAAATTCTTTTGGGGAAAAATTCTTTTAAAAAATGTAAAAACAGAATAATTACTATATGATCCAGCAATTCCACTTCTTGGACTCAGAAATATCTATACAGCCATGTTCACAGCAGCCTTATTTGCAGTAGCCAAAGGATGGAAGCAACACATGTGTCAATTGACGAATTATTTTTTTTTTTTCTATTTTTTTTTTTTTTTTTTTTTTTTTTTTTTTTTTTTTTTTTTAGAGCCATTTCTTCTTGTTTCCTCACTGATGCTCACACATTATAGTGATAATACTGATGAGTAAACCTACATTAAGTTAATCTGTGCTTATCCAGACACATGGCCAATAAGTTGTGTTCTATCATCTGGAATTGAGAGCTCAGATATACATTGTGATCATCTTAATAAACCAAACCCATTATAAGCCTCCTATAGTCAATAATAACAAAAATTGGCCCATTGTCAGAAAAACTTATCTATTACAACAGAAAAAAACCTGATAATTAACAACATGGCTGCATCTATGGATATTTAAAGTTACCCAAAGTAAAACAACTTTCTAAGCTTGAAGTAGCATTTCTTGAAAATTGTTTGCTTTGTTATTTTGGTTTTGGAGGAGAGGGGTATGGGCTGTAAATGAATTTCCAGTTGAGCACATGAATAACGAAAAGGTTTCACCTTCAGTTGCAGCATCACACTTTGTCTCTCTGTGTTCCCAGGATATAAATATGAAGAAAATAGGACAAAATAACAAATTTTAATAAACAATATAATTGTGTGGATGGGCTCTGTCTGGAACTTTTTCTCTTCAGCTTATACTCATCTTCCAGGTCATCTCATCAGATCTACAATGTTCAAGACCATCTGTAGGCCGTGGACTCATAAATTGATATCTCTTGTCTGAACCTCTCCTCAATCTCATTTCCTGCTCTGGGCCACACTTAGATTTGCAAGTTATGCTTTGCACACGCCGAGGGTACCATTGGTATTGGCAGCAATCATAGATTTGTGTATTTATTAATATAATTTTCTAGCAGTTGACAAAGTGTTTGTACCTAGTCATTTTGTGGGCTCGTGGGCAGGGCTGTTATGACTCTTCCTCCATGAAACCACACTCCACCATCCTCCTTTGTGGCTGTTTTTAAAGCAAGCCAAGTGCACACATGTTTGTGCCTGGGCACTGGTCTCCCCCTGCCTCAACCCTGTCATCCAGGAATGTGTTTAGCTTCCCTGACTGCTTAGGTCTTTCCAGGCTTTGCTCATGTTACCATCCTATATAAAGTAATAGCCCTTATCTCTCTCCTACTTTATTTTATTTATTTATTTATTTATTTATTTTTTTAAATTAAATCTTTATTGTTCAGATTATTACATTTGTTCCTCTTTTTTTTCCCCCCATAACTCCCCTCCTCCCAGTTCCCGCCCCACCCTCCGCCCTCACTCCCCACCCACTGTCCTCATCCATAGGTGCACGATTTTTGTCCAGTCTCTTCCCACATCTCCCACACCCCTTTCCCCCCCAGGAATAGTCAGTCCATTCCCTTTCTATGTCCCTGATTCTATTATAATCACCAGTTCATTCTGTTCATCAGATTATTTATTCACTTGATTCTTAGATTCACTTGTTGATAGATGCATATTTGTTGATCATAATTTGTATCTTTACCTTTTTCTTCCTCTTCCTCTTCTTAAAGGATACCTTTCAGCATTTCATATAATCCTGGTTTGGTGGTGATGAACTCCTTTAGCTTTTCCTTATCTGTGAAGCTCTTTATCTGACCTTCAATTCTGAATGATAGCTTTGCTGGATAAAGTAATCTTGGTTGTAGGTTCTTGGTATTCATCACTTTGAATATTTCTTGCCACTCCCTTCTGGCCTGCAAAGTTTCTGTTGAGAAATCAGCTGACAGTCGTATGGGTATTCCCTTGTAGGTAACTGAGTTTCTTTCTCTTGCTGTTTTTAAGATTCTCTCTTTATCTTTTGCTCTTGGCATTTTAATTATGATGTGTCTTGGTGTGGTCCTCTTTGGATTCCTTTTGTTTGGGGTTCTCCGCGCTTCTTGGACCTGTAAGTCCATTTCTTTCACCAGGTGGGGGAAGTTTTCTGTCATTATTTCTTCAAATAGGTTTTCAATATCTTGCTCTCTCTCATCTTCTGGCACCCCTATAATTCTGATGTTGGTACGCTTGAAGCTGTCCCAGAGGCTCCTTACACTATCCTCGCATTTTTGGATTCTTTTTTCATTTTGCTTTTCCGGTTGGGTGTTTTTTGCTTCCTCGCATTTCAAATCATTGACTTGATTCTTGCGCTCCTCTGGTCTGCTGTCGGGAGTCTGTATAATATTCGTTATTTCAGTCCGTGTATGCTTAATTTCTAGTTGGTTCCCCAATATAAGATCGAGGGTCTTATTAGTTTTCTTGTAGATCTCATTAAGTTTATCGGCGGCTTCTAAACAGTTCTTGAGAGACCTTAAAAGTGTGGTTCTGAACTCTATATCTTCCATTGACAATTTTGTCCTGTTTCTTTGTCTCCGCATTTTGTTATGCTTCCTTGGTGCACCCCCTAGTGGTCTTTGTTCGCAGTCTTATAGTTAAATCTTGATTGTTGTAGCTAATACCAGGGAGGGTTTGACCTCCAGGCCAAGTGGCTATCTCAATTGACGAATTAATGGATAAACAAAATGTGGAACATACGTACAATGATATACTAGTCAGCCTTAAAAAGGAAGGAATTTTTTAAAAATATTTTTATTGATTTCAGAGAAAGGAACCAAGAGGAAAAGAGAGAAACATCAGTGATGAGAGAGAATCATTGATCTGCTGCCTCCTGCATGCCCCCTACTGGGTATCAAGCCTGCAAGCCCTGGCATGTGCCCTGACAGGGAATCAAACTCTGACCTCCTGGTTCATGGGTCAACGCTCAACCACCGAGCCACACCAGCTGGGCAAGGAAGGAAATTTGACACATGCTACAACATGGATGAACCTTGAGGACATGATGCTAAGTGAGATACTTAGAGTAGGCAAACTCATAAAACAGAAAGTAGAATGGCAGTAGCAGGGGATGGAAGAAGGGGCTAATATAGAGTTACTAGTATATATGACTCTCTCTCTCTCTCTCTCTCCCTCCCTCCCTCCCTCTCTGAAGCCAATAAAAAATGTATTTTAAAAAAAGGTAGAGTTTCAGTTTCGTAAGATGGATGTTGGTGATGATTGCACAACAATGTAAATGTACTTAAAAATAATTAACTGTACACCTAACACTTAAGAACTGTACACTTAAAAATAGTTAATGTGGTAAATCTTATATGTATTTTACTGCAATTTGTAAAAGTAATTTTAAAAATGGGAACTCCTTTTTAAAAATGCTCATCAACAAAACAATAGGTTTTTTAAAAATAATAGGATTTGTAAAAAAATAAAATAAAAAAATGCTCATCAAACTAACTACTAACAATATGTGCATTTTATTGTATGTGAACTATGCCTCAATAAAAAGAGGCCAAGGTCTCAGCTTTGTAGGGTGACAGAGGCCTCTCAGGGGAAGCATGCTGCTGTTATCCTTCATTTAGCGATATCCACTCTAAGGTAAAAATCCAACTCAGTGGAGAATCTAAAAACCCATATATCTTTTGCACAGCATCCTGGGTAAAATCATATGTCCTCAGGTATAACAATTATTCAAAGAAAAAAAATTGTCCAGCATAGTTAGGCTTTCATCTTGTTTCCTGATTCATTTCCAGAGTTATTTTAGAATCAAGGGTCACTTAAATTCCATGTTCCTTCTTCAGAAATACCATAAGTAAATTACTCTAGGCAAGTCACAGTCTAATGGAGGGAACCCAGTTGATCATAAGCTACTGGCATTGATCTCCAGTTCTCGTCTGTGCTATTACCAGGAACTCTCATAGGTCCAACTGCACTTGCGTCACCTCTGGCCTGTCCCTATGAGTCACACTCTACAGGCTATCTTATCCTGAGGCTCAGATCCCAGGGTTGATAGCTTCTCTTGTCTCAGCAACCGGAAGCCTTAGGGATAAAACAAGAGGAGCGCCTTCGATGGAGCACCTGAGTTAAGGAACTATGAGGTGGACCTATTAATGACCCTAGTCACCCCCAAACCAGCCAAGAGGTGTTGAGGTAGATACCAGGGTGGTAGAATGAATACTGAAGCATCATTACATGTTGGCTCTTTGTATTCAAATAATTTTCTCATCAGGAAAAGAAAGAACCTTGAATTTAACATCTGGTCTTTTCTCTTATCATCTTTCCCAAAGAAACTAAAATCCACTGCATCTTTCTTTACAAAATCCTTGTGATGCAGAAAGGGAAGAGACAGACTAGACCCGAATAGAAAACTAAAGTATAGTTGTCTTCCCTTATCCGCGGTTTCACTTTCTGTGGTTTCAATTACCCATGGTCAACCACAGTCCAAAAACACTGAATGGAAAATTCCAGAAATAAACAATTAATAAGTTTTAAATTTCGTGCTGTTCTGAGTAGCAGGGTGAAATCTCGCACTGTCCCATTCTGTTCCACCCATGATGGGACTCGCCCCTATGTCCAGCAATATCCATGCTGTATACACTACCTGCCTGCTAGTCACTTAGTTGTTATCTTGGTTATCAGAGACAGAGAGAGCACATTCAGTATGTTACAACTGATTTTATTACAGTATGTTGTT